TTTTAAAAAAATTCAAAATAATTATTAAAAATTTAAAAACGATAATTTAATCAATTCGTAACTTATTTTAATCGGTTAAACTATCTTTTCAGAAAAAAAAAATTTTTTATCTATTATTTCATAGTTCTTTTCAACAATTAAATGTTTAAACCACTATAACTCCGTTAAAAATTGTCCAAATGCGTTACCTTTTACATCAAAATTTGTAGTAGCCTAAACGGAACAAATTGGCGTTTTACATTTTTCTTGTATTTATTAACGGTAATGCGTTATAGCGGTTTAAACATTTAATTGTTTAAAAAACAATGAATTTATAAAAAAAAATTCTCTGAAAAGATAGCTTAATCTATTAAGATACGTCTCCAATCGATTAAATTATCAATTTTAAATTTTTAATAATGATTTTGAATTTTTTAATTTCCGCGAATTTTAAGGCTTCAAACCTTTTTTTTACAAAATGCCATTGTGAAAAACTTTTATTGAAACTTTTTTTCCATATCTTTCATATTTCGCGAAATAATCGAATTTGCAATTGTTTTTGGGGGATTTTTTCCATCCCCCCCCCCACTATGCCGGGCAAATAATTTTCATTTACATATTCGTGTTCCTCACGAAATTTCCGATAAAATGACCCGTGTTTCAATTATTTTCTCCATTATAAGGTACTCTTCAGCCATTTTCCTCATTTGACTGAACTATTACTTACCGTAGTTGTGTTGGGAATATATCAACAGTTATTCCAAGAATCGTCAAGGTTCCCACAGACGTAAACGATTGATTGATAGAAGATAGTACAACAATCATAGGTACGGTATTCGCATAATAAAGACTAAAACCAGAAAGTCCTCCACATATACCACATAGAACTACAATAAAATGGAAATAAGGCGATGGTAATTAATCTATTGTACAGCATCGTAGTAAATAAATAAATGGAATAGTGCTATTTTATAGTAATGAAGGTAACATTATTAGAGCAACATACAATAAAATAAACTGCAAAAAATGTTTCAACATTAACATCATAACATTTACTTTCTTAAAGTTTAATTTAATTATTAAGTTGTTTTGATTAGTACACCACACTCAAATGTACGAGTCGGTTAAACACTGAAAGCACACTGAGTGCACCTGAAATAAGTGTGATGATTGCAGGAAGTGGTAGGGAACTATTGGGATCCGTCAAATGGGCATACACCATCTGGTGGCAAAATTTATAACTAGAATGAGGGAAAAATTTACATAGGAACTGTGCACGCAAATTGTAAAATTGTTTATTAAAATAATAAAACACGTTAAAAAAGTAAAAATTTTTTTGATGATGATGGAGTCGACGAAGTTTTCTTCTAAAGTTAAATTAAATAAAAAGTTAATATGTTCAGTGAAAAGCTGCAATAGCACTTCAGACATAGATCTTCACTCTTCAGCTATATTAACTACCTTCCAATAAAAACTAACCGTTTTATATATGTAAAAAATATATTCGGAAAATTAGAGAAAAAAGTAAACTAATAGAAGCTTGGATGAAAGCAGTAGGTATCAAAGAAGTGAATTCCGGAATAAAAATTTGTTCACGTCATTTTAATGCACATGATTATATTTCAGCAAGTATTTACCATCAGCCATAACCTTAATATTTAAAACTAGAATCATAAAAAAAATAAAGTGAAAAATTATTTATTCCTGTGTAATTGATACGATATAAGTATTTTGAGGTTAAGAACCTACCTGCTGCAATACAACAAAGTTGCAATAATGTGTTTGCAGCGTTCTCTTAAATCGGCTTTGCACGTGCAAGTCATTGATATGATATTGCTTAAATCACCTAGAATCACCTCACCAATTATATAACGTGAATCACTTTTTAAATCCGAAGTTTGTAAAAAGTAGGCAGTAAACTTGACGGAATTTGAAGGCTAGCTTCCGGATTTGTTATTTCCGAATTTTATTGGCATTAAAAACACGCCCACCTTCAACGAAATTTCCTTTCCGAGGCTTTGCATCAGCCCAGTCACTTACGACTGACCATTCGTGAGATATTGCGGTTTTTAACATTAGAAAATTCATATTTTACATAATATGCACACATTTCCGCACCACCTATGAGGTAATGTACTTGACACCTTGTCATTTTTATTTCGTTTTCTTCTTGCAATGTATGGTGCTCCAAAAACAATTGATTCCATAGACAAATATAGATATGTGATGTTTGTAAAATCTGCATGGAACAATAAAACGGTACAATTGTCTTGTCTGCCTCCAACATCTGCTTCTGCCTTTCAACACTTGTATCGTGTGTATTATCAAGTTCAAGTGTGGCTAACAGATAATTATTTGGAGCCAATTCAAACTCTACTCCCGTCTGCTCCAGAAAAACTGCTTAATACTATTGTTTGTAAATGCAAGACGGCTTGTAGTAAGAATTGTGACTGTCAAAAAGTGGGACTATTTTGTTCGCCAGTATGCATCAATTGTCAGGGTCAGACTTGCTCCAATATTGAAATAAATACAACAGATGACAATATTTATGATATTAATGAAGAGCAATATTAATTTGAAATCATGTTTTCGTTTTTTTATTTACCCACTACAAACTACCTCAAATTAATGAGGGAAAAAATAAATAAAAAATCAAAAAAATGATTTCAAATTAATATTGCATATTAATCCACTATTAAGTAACTAACAATGTCATAGGATTTCATATATTAATGAAGAGACAATTGATGCATCACTTTTCTTAGAACAGTGAACAGATATTCTGCAAGAAGAAAAAGACGAAGAAATAATTGTCGAAGTAGAATTAGACAATTATCTAATATAATAACATTTAGAAGAAAACCACCTATTCCACTTTTATCATTAGCAATATAACAATTTTTTGCATCACTAGGATACGATTTGATCAAACTTTCTTAATGACAATAGATTGTGGAGTATACCTACTGGGGAAACCACGTTAAAAAAAATGCGTCAAGTACATTACCTCATAAGTGGTGCGGAAATGTGTGCATATTATGTAAAATATGAATTTTCTAATTATTAAAATCGCAATATCTCACGAATGGTGAGTCGTAAGTGAAAAAGTGACTGGGCCATTTTTGTAGAGAATTGTATGATCTACAACTTTTGTCTGACCTATTTTCACGATAAAACTTACCGTTTTCGAGGAAAATGGAAAAAACCTTAATTTGGCACTTTTGACCTTGAATAAAATTTGTTGCAGAAGTACGATTGAAGAGAACATTTTATTTATAATGATATATTTAACGTCTTTGCCAATTTAGCTCTATGTGAATTTTAGTAATTTCTGTACAAGAGAAAATAATTTACTACATTATCTATTAATAGCTATTCGGCTTTACTTACCGAACAAATTTTTTTTCCCGACTCTATTAATGATTATTACGGCGACAACGGATCCCATCATGGCCGATACTGCGACTATAACATTTCTTATGTAAAAGACATCATTCAGTTGACCCTTCAAAATTAGAAACAGATATTAAACAAATTATATACGTAACAATTTATACCATCGGGTGCATCTGTATCATTTAATCTCTATACGCATATAAATGAGACTCATGATCAACATGCAGCCGAATCTACTCAATTAATTTTTGGGAACATATTTTAATTACTACATATTAGGGGCGCACTAACAACGGATATTGTGAAAATCGAATTAAAAAAGAAAAACAATAATTTAAAAACGACTGATGAAGTTTTAATAAATGGGGCAGCTTTTGCAGACGTGACTTTGTTCTGGGCTTTGATTTTACAGATCAAGGTCTGAGTTATGATCATGTTAGTAGCTAGTGTAAAATTGGTTTCGCTCTTTTCCTATTAACATCTTTTAAAGAATGCGTGTTGGCAAAGGTATACAAAGATATTGAATTCGAATCGGATTATACATATTCCGATTATTTTTTTTTATTGAGAAATTATTCGTGTGAAATTTTCAAAATTTTATCTTATCCTATTTTGAATAACACAAGTTATAGAGTCAAGGTAGTGTCGGATTCACTCCTGATGGGAGCGCCTACCGACTCTTTCTAGCATTACAATAATTAATGTTTTCTGAAATCCTACAAACGACACGATAAACGCCATCTGTAGTATAATGCTACATTTAGTGGAATTCAATATTTTCAACAAGGTCCACTTAATTGTTTGAATATCTACTTGCTGAACTGATTCCACGGTGTAGCTCACCCTACGTGATAAGACACCATGAACTTCTTTGTTCGGTTAATGTTTTGTTACTACAAAATCTATTTACTCACAGCATGATCAAAAAACAAATACTCACGACAATGCACTTTTCTTCTACTGTGGAATTATTCTCGCTTTTAATGTAGGCTGAAAATTCGAGCATCTCGCATAAACTGGCTGATGAATTTGGGTTGGTTGTTTGATATTCGTTTATCGTTGCGTACAGTTCTGGCAGCCAAAGTCTCAGCGTATTTAATCTAAAACATATAATCTAACATGGACGCGGTAGAGTCAGATATATTTATAATATTTATCGGTAAAAACACTTAATGGTCCGAGCAAATACAGTTAAATAATGACTATTAAACTAGACGTATTAGTAGGGTCCAAAACCTTTCGGATGAACCCTCACTCTTTAACATAACGATGTATAGAACAGGTCATTAGCAGTCATCAATTAACAACAATAATTAGTGCAACACAGCAATATGTAACCTAAATAGCAACAATAGATTTCTTCCTTACCCACACATAATACCAAATTGTATTGTCAATCCCAGAAATAGTTTAATAGTATAAGGAGGTTTAAATACGGAAAGCATTAATTGTAGACCCCTTTTAAATGTTTGAAGCTTGCTTTCCTTTCTTTGAATTTCATTAACAGCACCGTTTGCTTTAACTTCATCTACTAGTGATTGTACCTAAAAGCAAAAAACAGTATCAAAGAAATGCCACAGTGTCGCCATCTGCAGACTTTACAGATAATTCCAAGAGTGTAGCGAGGATTTTATTCAATACAATGGAGTTCATTAAGAAACGCGTCAGTAAACGAATTTCGTCAATTGCGAAATTTCATAAGTGAAACTATGACAAATAGAGTAATTGATTATTATTAAGGTAATGTTAATGAAAGACAAGGAGAATTGACTCCTGGTTGACGACTTTATTGTTTAAAAAAGCAGTTACAGATGGTTGATCTTTTTATATTTTATAAACTCTACACTTTAAGTATAGCTATTTAATAAAAATTAAGTTTGATTATTGATGATATTTACTTTACTTTAATTTTTTTGCGTGTTCAATTCTCACCAGATATTAATGTTACTGGGTGGGAAGACCCCCGACCTACACTTTAATGCAAAGCCGAAGGGTCGAAGGGTAGAGCGGAACGTTCGCTTTAGCCTCCTTTTAGGAATAATTGAAATGGGTGAGTTCTGGCAGTTGAGGAGAGATAAATGAACAGTCAAAATAAAGACAGAGATGAGTGAAAGACTACTTGTGGAATACTACTACCTCAGCATTTGCCTAAATAAATTAAAAAACCTTCAGAAAAACAGTATCGAACCGATGGTCTCTCGAATGCTGTGCACTAGTCTAGCCATTAAGCCAAGTCGCATCGCTCGGTGCCAAACTGAACCTACATTGAAGATTATATATGCTAAAGGCATCTGAGCTGATTTAATAAAAAACATTACATTCTTGATCTGAAATTGATAGAAACCACCAAAGATTCCTATTCCTGTTTTAAATATCTCGCACTATCGCACTACAATAAATAAAATAAAAACTACAACATTCGAAACTGCATAAGCAATAAAAAAAGAATATCTAATAATTCTAGAAGAGAAGGAACAAATCGGTGCATCGTGTTTTCAAGAAACCTGCCCATACGGACCGACACCTGCTCAAGCACTCCAATCACCATCCACGGAAAATTAGGCATCATCTGTACAACTACAAGAGAGCAGACTAAATAATGCCTTTCCGTGTCAATCGACCAAGAAATCCGGAGAGCTATGCAACCTGAAACCCGTCAATTGAATGAAGAAAAATCAACAGTAATCAAAGCCGTCCTCCAGTACCTTAAAGGTGTGTTAGATAGAATTGGTTGAGTTTTGATGAAAAAATCGGTTGTCTGTAAAGTCGGTTTACTGACGATAGTTGATCGTGACAACGTCATAAGAAAATACTGATGGAATGGTTTCATTTTTCAAAAGAATATTTTAATTTTATTTGTTTGATAGATATTTTGTATGGATATAGAGAAGGAGGTAAATAGAAATCACAATTGAATTGATTAAGTTACATTTATTTGTACGCATAAATACAATTAAGTCAAGTTTTATTTATTTTTTTTTCCAATGTACATAATTTTTACAAGTATGAATGTGCTTTGAGCAATTGTTTTACAACTTTTATTTACAACTTTTAAACATCATTAAAATTTTTGTAACACTAGCTTCAATTCGACAATATATCACTGAACATATATTTAATATCGAAAGAATCATTACCTTTATCGCCGCAATTATCGTTGCTATAAACAATTGACACCACATTCACTTTTCACTGCACTTCATACTTGACGAAAACATGTAAATGTATTATTGTATAGCAGCTGTCCACGCGGACGCATCGCTCACTCAAGTAGGAGAGAGACAGATGTCGAACGCTGCCGAACGCAGAGGCCGTTTGTGCCTCTTTGTCGCTCGTTCCGCGCTCTCGCTTGCATTTCAAGCCTTAAATGGAACGCCTCAGAGCGAGGTAACGCCGCATGAGTCATGTTTTTTCGTGCGTGCAGCCGGCTCCATCGAATTATAAGACGTTGTCACGTCAAAAAAGCAACAAAACCGTCTTCATTCCAACCAAGAAAATCTAAAAACACTTGCGTTCCGCGAAAGATCCTAGCACTCTTGTTAAGAATTGGCTAATTTTATTATTTATATACGGGTACCTTCTGTTAGATAAAACCACAGACATATAGAATGGACTGATTTTGAGGGAGTTGACCATATGTACCAGACTCTGTATTGTAGGACCATTATTGGGTTACTGGTTACAGTGTCTACGTGGACCGAGTCAATGATGCTGTCGGCAATTTTTGCAAAGTCATCTAGGTCCTTGTCTTTCATTGCACATAGATCAGCTGGATGTAGGTTGGAAGGCGACCAAACCATATGTTTCATAGAAGGCTGTCAGTGATGGTGGCACCGCCTAAACTACGAAAATGACGTAGAAACTGAGATGGTTTGCGATCGTCAAGTTCTTCCTGTTCGAGTAGTTTCTTGATGGGTGCTTCTTGTGAAACACCACGTCGTTGAATTAGCTCTGCCTTGATTATGCTGTATGGATCTTCCTCCGGAGGGTTGACGATTATGTCACATGCGGCATATCGGGGATCGAGATTACCAATTACACACCAAAATTTGGTACCTTCCGAAGTGATGGCAGGTGCATCGAAACTGCGATCTGCTATGCAGAAGCATAACTCTGGGTCGGATAGAACAAAGGGTGGCAATTTGACTGCCACGGATGCTAGGGTATCGACGGCAGCGGCGCGAGTTGATATGTTAATTGTGGTGATACAGAAGACGACGATATTGCCAGTATGGAGCCCAGAGACAGTTTGTGGTCCTTGGGACGATTCTGTAGCTTATTTTTTAATCGAATGGCGCTGCATCACGTCGGGGTCACCAAAGAAGCGTGCGTGACGCTAACAAATAAAGATGCAGACTCCAGTCTATTTGCAAGTCTCGAGTTGCATAATGAAGTGACTATGACTATTTGCAAGTCCAATAGTCAGACAAAGATGAATCTGTTTGATTACAAGATTGATTTATTTAATTATTTACACGGTATTTCTACAAACCTATTTACATGGCTTAAATGTAAAGTGTTTGACCAGCAGTTGTCGATCGACAGTGACGATTGGGATCCGTCAAATGGGAGGAGCCTAAAACCATGGCGCCGATTAGGGAAAATTTATCGTAGTTCCTATAGTGTACCGTGCAATTTCCAAGTTTTTAAATTACGATAAAATGATAAGTATTGATACAATATGTTATTGGGCTGACACAAAGCCTCGGAAAGGATATTTCGTTGAAGGTGAGCGTGTTTTTAATGCCAATCACATTATAAAATTCGGAAATAACAAATCCGGAAGCTAGCCTTCAAATTCCGTCAAGTTTACTGCCTACTTTTTACAAACTTCGGATTTAAAAAGTGATTCACGTCATATAATTGGTGAGGTGATTCTGGGTGATTTAAGCAATATCATATCAATGACTTGCACGTGCAAAGCCGATTTAAGAGAACGTTGCAAACACATTATTGCAACTTTGTTGTATTGCAGCAGGTAGGTTCTTAACCTCAAAATACTTATATCGTATCATTAGAATTGTGTTAAATCAATTACACAGGAATAAATAATTTCTCACTTTATAATTTTAGTATGATTCTAGTTTTAAATATTAAGGTTATGGCTGATGGTAAATACTTGCTGAAATATAATCATGTGCATTAAAATGACGTGAACAAATTTTTATTCCGGAATTCACTTCTTTGATACCTACTGCTTTCATCCAAGCTTCTATTAGTTTACTTTTTTCTCTAATTTTCCGAATATATTTTTTACATATATAAAACGGTTAGTTTTTATTGGAAAGTAGTTAATGTAGGTGAAGAGTGAAGATCTATGTCTGAAGTGCTATTGCAGCTTTTCACTGAACATATTAACTTTTTATTTGATTTAACTTTAGAAGAAAACTTCGTCGACTCCATCATCATCAAAAAAATTTTTACTTTTTTAACGTGTTTTATTATTTTAATAAACAATTTTACAATTTGCGTGCACAGTTCCTATGTAAATTTTTCCCTCATTCGAGTTATAAATTCTGCCACCAGATGGTGTATGCCCATTTGACGGATCCCAATAGAAATGCTGAGTTGCTTGCACACATACTCTATGCCTACGAACTGTATACCACACATATATCTAATGCCGCCTATTAGATGTCATGTGTTTTTCACAAGTTTACGAGGAAGGTGCTTTACTAATATCACAGCCGTCTCTAATATAAGCCATGCTGAGAAGTTTGGCAACAGCGCATTGCTTCAATGTGAGAGTCCTGTTCTGCGAGTCTTACTTGTTATTACTACACGTCGTTACACATGATTTTTAAACACCCATTACGATAAAAGTGAATGAAATTATTAAATAAATAACATTTGTTCTTCACTGATAGTATGTGATGTTATTTGAAATACACTTCAACATGTAGGTATTAAGAACAAAATAGAAAAGACAATAGATTGGGTAAACGTTAATAGGTACCTATACGAATTTCATCTCGATAATTGTAATTTTATAAAAAACACCGCCATTGAGGTATTGTCAAGGTGCGTTACCTTTTTTTTAGGGTTCGCCAACAGCCCTGTCATCCCATTAGAAAAAGTTAATTATAATTTAAACTTTTATAATTTACGGATTTTTGCTGTCTTACAGTTGAATTTGAATTAGAGTGGCGGGACTCTTGCTTTCTATAATTTATAATTTTAACGTAATCATTAAGCAAAACATTAGCAAAAGAAGATAAAATTTGGAAGAATATATCTTTATAGTGTTTTCCAAAACTAAATATTTTTGAAAATAGTTAATTTTCCTAAAATTGGTTTTTGGAGTTCAGCCCGTAAATATTGTGTCTGCAGATATTCGTTATTACTTATTTCTTCAAGAATGGCATAAAAGTGAAAAAAAAATATACTAATATTATCAGTAGGAACAGAAAGTCCTCCCCTTTGTAAATAATCAAAATAAATATCACCAACGCAAGAGCCTTTATTGTTTATTATGAGCGAAACACAATTGTTGCAAGTTATCTTTTTACGAGCAGAATGAACTGCATATCCTGAAATGCAAATTTTTAAGGAGTCATCTAAATCACAATTCATTAAAAAATCGGAAATTAAAATTTCAATAAACTGACTTATGTTTAAGGGAGAATTTTCAACAATTTAAATTTCTGTTTCATCATTCTCTGGTAATTTAGGATATGTTAAAAGCACATTCAAAACATTACCGGCAGTGGATACCATTTTTACTGTTTTTATAATGTCACTTAAAGTAATGTATGTAAACTGCGGAATATTTTCATGGAGTCCAATCTTTGCGAGGTATAGCACTTATGAATTTTTTTCATTTCATATTTTTTTTTGAGAATAAAAATATAGACATACTTATATTTTAAAGATGATTTATAATTTGAATTGCAACTCGGAACACAACAAAAATGAGGCATTTTGTTAAGAAATAAATAAGAAAATTTACAACTTAAACACACAATCTGACCTAAAACATTTTCACTTCTTTCACTTAATCGTTAATATTACCTTCTGCAATTAAAAACTGTATTCAAAAGTATTAATCACTAACCAAACCGCCAAATGTGCGTTTGAACTCGGACGCGATACTACGGCTCATTCTGAGATCCTTTGAAACGCAATGGGCCAGAGAATATTCCTTGGATACAGCAAAGAGGTCTCGTCGGATTTCTTGAGGTCACTCCAAATCTCCTGTTAACATGAGGGCCTTCCTTCATGAACTCTTCGAATGTGAGTTCGAAAGGAATAGTTCTTAATAATCTGGCCCGCGCCTCCTCTTCATTTGCACCGGCGAATGGAGCCAAGCGATTAATATGGACTACCTTCGGCTTCCCATTTGGAGTTTTCTTAATTCGATAGATCACGTCGTTAATCCTCTTCACTATCTCATAGGGTCCTTCCCAATTCTGTTGGAACTTGGTGATAGTCCACGGCGACGACGAGGATTATACAACCAAACAAGATCTCCAGTTTGGTAACCACATGCTGTAGCCTTAATATCGTAGTTTTCTTTAATCCTGTAACTAGCAATCTGCGTATACAGACGAACCGACCCGTGGATATCGTTAAGTTTTCTTCGGAGGTTGGTAACATAATCTTCTCCAGCCAAGTCTTCTCCTGGTTTATAGCCGAATTTGAGGTCACAGATATTTAATCAAGGTCCGGTTCATTCGCTCAACCATGCCGTCCGATTGATCAACTCTTTCACCAGTTCCTCAACTATGGTTTCCGACTCCTGGTTCGGAAGGGCATAGGCTTCAACCCACTTGGTAAAATAGTCCATAACGACCACGATGTACTTGTTACCTTTCTCGGACTCTGGGAATGGACCCGCCACATCGATTGCGATTCGTTCGAAAGGGCCACCGACATTGTAGTTTCTTTCGGCTTTTGATAAGGTCTTGCTTATTACCTTCTCTTGGCCGTCTTGTAACTGCGAAAAAGCGGCTCCCAATCCCATATTGCTTCAAAGTCTCAACATCACCTTCCATTGGTTTTATCTTTCCATTAAAAATCAATTTTTCCAGCACTTTTATTTTCTCTTCTATTTCTTGAATATTCTTATTAAACTTTTCTTCCCATTTATTCTCCAAACTTCTATTGTTTTCTTCCAATTCACGTTTCAAACTTTTACTATTTTCTTCAAATTCTCGTTTCAAACTTTTACTGTTTTCTTCCAATTCACGTTTCAAACTTTTACTATTTTCTTCCAATGTATTTTCCAAACTTTTACTGTTTTCTTCCAATTTATTTTCTAAACTTTTACTGTTTTCTTCCAATTCACGTTTCAAACTTTTACTATTTTCTTCCAATTCACGTTTCAAACTTTTACTATTATCTTCCAATTCCCGTTTCAAACTTTTACTATTTTAGAATGAAGATTGGGGCTATGGGGCCGTGATCTAAGTGAAATATTCCGTCCAGACGTTTCGTCAGCTACTGCGGCTGACATCCTCAGTGGTGATGCTGCGTTGACAACGTGAACTGGACTGGACACAGTCGCTGTCGAGACTTCGAAATATAATCTACGTTCACGTTGTCAACGCAGCACTACCACTGAGGATGTCAGCCGCAGTAGCTGACGAAACGTCTGGACGGAATAGTTCACTTAGACCACGGCCCTATTGCCCGAAACTTCATTCTACTATGGATTCCGGCCGTGAAAGCCTTTGTTCTTATATTTTACTATTTTCTTCCGATTTATTTTCCAAACTTTTACTGTTTTCTTCCAATTCACGTTTCAGACAATTCGTCTTCAAAAAGGAACGTTTAAGGATCATGGCCATCCTTTTTCAACGCCTCCACGAGCCGCCACTGAAGTTCCGCTTTGTTACCGCTTGTCGCTTCATCCGGTTCTTCCAATTCTCTTTTTAACTGTGCTACTTTTAATTCGTACAACTTCTTTGCCATTGTAATGCTTTTACTCAACCCCACACCTGACACCAGTTGTAATAGAAAATACTACAAACGGCGCAGTAAACGCCATCTGTAGCACGATGCTACATTTTAGGATTACGTATGCTCCAAATAGGTCCACTTGTGTGGATATCTACTGATAACTACAAAAACTATTTATTTACACTAATTATTAAAGAACTTAACTTACTAAAACTAACTTAAAACACTATTAAATTATTACTAAACTTAGGTTATGAATTATTCTATTTAATTCCACTACTGTTGATATATCACTATTCACTGCGCTATTTATTTCACTGCTATCACTATCAATTTATTTCTGCATTCATTTCTGCAACGGTCGATTTATTTCTTCTCCTCTCGGCGATCGTTTCTTCCTTTTATATACTCTTTTGTTTCCTTTCTGGAACCCTCTAGAAACATTCGGATCGTTTAGTTTTTCGTTGAACTGTTTAACTGCTTTCCCAGAACGCAGGTACGACACTCACATTTACAAATACGGCGCAAATGAAGAAAGGAATCGATAAGCCGTTCACGCACACGTGTGCCCGATCGCACACAAACACGCTCGTGCTCGCTACAATATTTTTACAGTTGTAAACTGTGTAAAGTTTTAATAGATGCCGTATATGTTAAAATCTAAAAATCATAGAAAAATTTTGATGGTACATACTGGATAATTTTCCTTCGGTAGTCCAGTATTAATAGAATAGATTGTTTGAAAAACTTTTATGGCTTCTTCATTTTTTCCAGCTGTCATCAGAAATTTCGGACTTTCTGGCATAAAATAAAACATTAATCCTCCTAACAAGCCAGGAATACCACAACATAAGAGAAAAAGATTCCATGAATGGATAACTACAATTAATTTTTATGAAAGAAAAAATAATTTTTGTGAAGTAGATACCTATCGAAATAAAGATATAGTTAATTTATAGGATATAGCATGAATGTCAAGAAAAGTACAAAAAAATCCATCTATCAATACTTTTGTGTAATAAGATGAACTTTTCCTACCTTTTGTTTCTATTTGAACTTCTACTTGAAAACAAAAAATATTCAATTGAATTATTGTACTTGTAAAAAATGTGAGTAAGTTGCTAAATTCATACGATTTTTATTGAACAAAAGATTAAAAAAACGAACTGGAAGTTGTTGAAAAAGAAATAAAGGGCTAAAACAATTAAAATAATTGGTTAATGAAGCACTCTGAATAATAATATTAAAAAGAAGACAAGACGTTTTAAAAGGGAAGACAACTTTGTGGTTCAGAAAATATGCTGTTAAATTTTCACTTAGCGAAAACCTATTTTATTTTTGGAAATAACATGTAGCGAAGAAAATTAAGCTAAAAGACCAAGAAAGTTTTTAATGGAGTAATTTTCAATATATGTTTTATTTTTCAGGTACAGTCAACTTTTATAGCACGGTTTCGCTACAGGCATAATCTCACCTTCTAAAACATTCTAACCTTTGCATGTTTAGTCATTCATCATTGTATCAATTGTACAATTATATAGTGGTGTATACTGTTACTTTTTTGTTTATAGAGTTAGGGCACAGTAGAAATGCAGTTTTGTAGCTATTCACAATGTAGTTAAAAATCTTAAACCCCCAATAATTAGAAACCTATTTGTCATCCATTGTATAACTGATTATGACAATACCACTGCATTGTACAAAGTAAGCATAGAATTATACAGATTTTCAATATTATGTGAAGATGAAGCAGTAAAACGTACAAGATACGTCATATACATTTTTTAATACCTGTCAATTTCTTTCCCTAGTATCTACCCAATGCGCCACTGAAAAAAATAATTTTTTTTAGACCCTAATATGCGATCAGTAATAATGCAACCAGTAATAATGAATAATGCCGTTACGTGCTTCTAATAGTTTCTTATAGAAGTTGCGATATTATCCAAACTAAAAAAATTGTAAGAAATAAACTATTAGATGAATGAAAATATCTTTTTTTTTAAAATTCTTTAGATCGAATGGCATCATTTTCGTCACGGCATGTTTTCAAAAATTTCCAAAAACAAAAAAGTTTCCCTTTGTGCGTATTTACTCAACTTCCAATCGTATCCATGTTTTTAGCATATTTCGTTTTTGTTTTATGAACTGTACAATGAATAGAAAGATGCGCTGAAATGTGTTTCAAAACAAAAAAAAAGTTGAAGTCGATAGCTCAATCCGTTTTTAATATATGGCAATAGATAGATAGGTTTTCCACTTTGTTTTATAAAATTGTCTGTGACCGTCGTCGTATTTTCTGTTTTTAAGTGTAAAATGGTATTGTTTATTGAATAAAATAATTCGAAGTGGTCTGTATTCTGTCGAAACTGTCAGACGCGGATCGCGATTTCGATCTTTTTGGATCTCATCAGCGCGTCGCAGGCAGCTCCGACAGAACACAGGCCAAGCTTTACCTGCTGTCTTAACAGCGCGTTTTAGAAAATACCACGAATGACGTGGTGAACGCCATCTGTAGTACGATGCTACATTTTAGGATTACGTATGCTCCAACATTGTATTGTTTATAGTACTCATTAAGTCTGATCTTGTTTTAAGCGTATAAAAAAAGACACAAATTTACCTCTTATTTGCTACACTATACAAAAACGTTAATTTAATTTAGACATTTGCCACTTATTACCACAAAAATTAAAATACAACTAACTAGTAAAAATTTTATCAAATTAATAAAATAATCACCCTACATTCGTTACCTCCCCCCTCCCGAGTTCATCCCTTATCAATTTGTAATAAGGTTTTTGTATTGGTTTGTAAAATATGTATTACTTTGTAATAGTACAATAATTATTTTTTGTTCTTTATATATGATGCAATTACAGGACAAGTCGACCACTCGCTGGGGTGACCCGTTCGAAAGACAATTAATAACTTGTCATTAATACATTAAAGTGCATTAATTTTGATTTAATTTTTACCATTACAGATAACTTCAAAAAAATAAGGAAAAATTGTTGCTGCCGTCGCCGAGAATCGAACCCGGATCCATGACTTTATGCACCATTGTTCTATCACTAAGCTACGATAGGTGACTAAAGCAACAACGACACGTACCTAATTATGTAGTTCACAGAATCGTCGAACCAATGTGTAATAATTATTAAGAATGAAACATTTAAAAGGGTTTTTGTAGTGGTAAAAATTAACCTCTTTAATATATTAAAATTAACCCTACAAAAATTCTTTTCAGCCAGTGACCCGCGTTCGATTCCCGGCGAGGGCGTGATAGCAGCAACAATTTTTCTTCATTAATTTAATATTACCTGTAGTTGTAAAAATTAATTCAAAGATTAATTCACTTTGATATGTTAAAATTAACCCTATAAAAAATTTTGTACTTATCATCAATATTTTAATAAGATAGTGACGAGATCAGACCGCGAACGACAGCAGACAGACTAATACTGGGAAAAAGTTATCCAAATTAATCGATTTAACGATTATTTTCTTGCATTTTCGTGATTAAATTGTAATAATCGCACAGCTCTAGTACCTACCTACGTAAAATCCCCTTATTATACCTTTTGTACTTTTGTACACTGGTTCAAGTAATAATTAATTTAATAATAAGTACACATCTACCTACCTGAAACCTGAATTTTGTAATTCACGTACCTATTAAATTACCAACTCTGAAGTCAACATCGATTGGAAAAACAGCCCATGCTAGTATAGGTAATATTACATTTCCTATTGCGTGAAAAAATCCCATCACATAAGTCATTTTACCTCTTCGAGTTTTGTCATGGAATTCGCTTAAATATGGCAATAGAGCGGAATACGGTCCACCAACCCTACAATCAAAAGATACTGGTTAACACAAATTTTATTATAAATATGAAACACTTTGACATTTAATAGACGCTAATACCAAATATTATTGTGAAAATTCATTCTGATTTTCCCCCATTACAAACTACCTCAAATTAATGAGGGAAAAAGTTTGTTGCTGCTGTCACGCCCTTGCCGGGAATCGAACCTGGGACCTTTACTCATCAATGTTCTGACCACATAGCTACAAGAGGTGACAGAGTTTGTGACCCAATAAGTACGGTTTGCTGTTGTTGCGGTTGTCACCTCTTGTAGCTTAGTGGTCAGAGCATTGGTGCGTAAAGCCAAAGGTCCCGGGTTCGATTCCCGGCGGGGGTGTGACAACAGCATCAAAATTTTTTCCTCATTAATTTGAGGTAGTTTGTAGTGAGAGAAAATTAGAATGAATTTTCACATTAATACAAATTTTATTTTAACAAATATTCATGAATATAGTTAAAATAAACAGTATAAGTCTGTGAGTTCTCAATTCAGTCAATTATCAATGATATACCTGACAAACACTTTTTCTGTACTGAAATTATTAAAGCATCACTTGTAGTGACTTTTAAAATAACATACTTTTAATAACATCGGTTAGTCCAAAACAAATGGAAAATATTCTGTGACTTCAAATAGTTATAGCACTCTTGCTGCTACAATCTCGTTACATTCGCAAATATGTTGTACTATGCAATAGTACCATTACAAGAATTGCCGGGGATGTCGCTCTTATTATCGACTCGAGTGCCAGTCCCTTTATTCGCTCTTGCGCAAGCGCGGCATATCTAATGAGATTCTGGATCATGTTAATTTTACACATATCACAATATTTTCTTTACATAAAATTAAAAACAGAAAGGTTGAAAAATTGCTTCAATCGTCAATTGTTTTTGTAATCACAAACTTTTTAAAATAATGTTCATGTAAATTAAATTATCTAAAGAAAGATATCCTATGACCGTATGCGCTTTTCAGATTCAATACAAATTTTTTCGTTCATCTATCGCATATCGCATTACAGCCGGCCGCGGAATAGGGGTAAAAATGAGAGGCGCTCTGCAGAACAGCCAACGCCAATATAGAGGCGCCTACGGCTCGTAGGAGCCAAAGCCAATATGGGGGCGCCCATGACTCGCATGAGAACATTTATATTTTCACTCATTCGTGCAAGTGCATGACAATTACATTTATAGACTGTGAAACTCAAAGCGAAGATGAAATTATTGATAGAATAACTGAAGTTCAAAATGATTCAATAATTTAAATAAATATTGTTCTCAGTCTTTAACATGCGTCTATCATCTGAATGATTGTATTTATTACGTATTCCGTACTCTCATATCAGATTCAAATAAAAATTTATGGTTGGATATCTTGTCTACTATTGATTTCCCATTATCATTCCCATTTTCTAATCATTAAGATAAGATTAAGAACGCGATTTTAATTTTAATACCCTAAATCGAATAATTTTCCGAAAATTTACAGTTAAATGCCTATAATCCGAAAAGTTTCACTTACATCGTGGTTTCATAAAACCACACAATTGTTTTTTTATTTAATTTTAGGAATTCACGCTGTACTTAATGTAGAGTCTAAGAATGAAATAAAATGAGGGTTTCAATTTAAAAGGTATGCATGGTTACACGACATCTTGCTTTGGGTCGCCATTTTTAAAGCTAGGAAGCAATCGACTTTCTTAACAAGAAAAGTACTTACAGAAACCCGCCTATGTATTTTAGAACAAGAAGAGTTGGATATGCTCGAGAAGTCGAATAGAAGAGGACATTAATACCAGCCATTGTATATAGAATTGTACAAACTCTTCTTCTTCCAAACTTATCCGAAAGAAATCCTCCCAGAAAAGCACTAGAGCAAATTCCTGCAATTTAAATTTATGGTATACTTTAGAGACTTTATTAAGCAATTGCATTTATCGTAAAAATAATAAAAACCACTTAATTTATGACAATCAACACCGACGTTTCATCTTTCTTTAAACAAGTAAACCGTTAAGAATAAGCCCTTTCGTAAGGTAATAGTAAGGCATTGACATCGTATTGGTATATGGGCAATGTCGCTAGAAGGCTAGAACGTCGTTTCCCCTAATTTGCGGACTATAGCGTGCGACATTCAAAACCCCTTTCACTTTCATCTTCAAACGGTTATTCGTAAGCATTTAAAACTGATTTTCGTGGTTTTCCAATTAGGTACTCATTCAAAATGTTTATTTATACAAACAGCGAAAAAAATGCCAAACTGTTATGTGGTATTAGAAAATACCACAAATGGCGCGGTAAACGCCATCTGTAGTACGATGCTACATTTTAGGATTACGTATGCTCCAACAAGGTCCATTTGTATGACTATCTACTTGCTGAAACGAATCCCGGCGTGGCTAACCTCAACGTGATAGGCACGTTACCATAATCGAATAAAATAATTCAAAGTGGTCTGTATTCTGTCGAATTGTATTCGATTATGGTAACGTGCCTATCACGTAGTGGTTAGCTACGCCAGGATTCGTTTCAACAAGTAGATATCCATATATTTAAATGGACCTTGTTGGAGCATACGTAATGCTCAAATGTAGCATCGTACTACAGATGTCGTTTACCGCGCCATTTGTGGTATTTTCTAAAACGCACTGTAAAGACAACAGGTAAAAGTTGGTCTGTGTTCTGTCGGCGCTGTCTGTGACGCGCTGATGAGATCCAAAAAGATCGAAATCGCGATCCGCGTCTGGCAGTTTCGACAGAATACAGACCACTTCGAATTATTTTAGGTTATGTGGTAGCTACCATTCCGGTGAGTCTATCAAAAGTTTGCGGGTGGGGATAGGGTTAGGAGAGCCAGAAGCATTCTTGGATAGCTTCTATTTATTAGGAATATATCGCCTGTCTTTTTCATTGAGAAATAATCTCGTATTCCGTGTGACGCGACTCACATTGTTAGAATAGTGGAGATGGAAATTTGAAACATATGCCTCAGTAGATACATAAAACCACGCGTGAAGCCCTGGCGTGAAGCGGTTGGCAGCTCGTTCTTCGATAAACAAGTATGGTTGTTCGGAAAGTCATTTCGTTTTTTCCCGACAGAGGATTTAATTGTATTCTTTTGCACCCAACTTCACATTTACGCCGTATAATTTTTATATGCTTTGAGAGCTCATATAGCAAGGCTTGTGTGTGAAAAATTCCAATTAATTCTACGCA